CCAATTAATTTTTGATCTAGTCTTGCAGAGATCCAGAAAGGCTTTTATCACTGTGGCACTTGCAGTGCTTGCAACAATACTAATATAAGTAATAAGAGCGTTAAATCTTTTAAGTCTAACAGCATTTTAAAAAGCTATAAATTTAAATCCCCTATCACTTGCCACTCCAGAAATGTTATTTATTTATTAAATTGTGATTGTGGCTACCAATATGTGGATAAAACATCTAGATCTTTAAACATTAGAATTAGTGAGCATGTTAAAAATATTAAAATAAAAATGGTTTTATTAATCACAAGAATAATAGTAATTTATTCACATTTAGTTGAGTATTGATACTGCTCAATTAACAGCACCTGGGTGGTATAATCCCCACCAGGGATATATTTTCGGGTAAATTCTCCAGAGAGATATCCTCACCTGGGTACAGATGTAGGGTAGATACTCCAAGGAATAGTTGTGTCAGGAACAGAATTCATTAAATTAATAATAGCAAAAAAAGTAATATAAATGGTCAAACACACAAATGAGTGGATGCCAAATATGCTTTAATGCTAAAAAAATTGGAATAGTAAAACAATGCTACACATTTCGCCAGTATGAGGGCTTCTTCAAGTGTAAAACGCTCTTACTGTATGTATTGGGGCTGACGTGTACTGTGGTCATTGCTGCCACCCAAGCGTAGTGGGAGTTTGAGCACAGGACTTATTTTTGTGTATTTGTATTCACTTTTGTATCACACAGCTATGTTACAAGGCTGCAGCCTAACCCATGTGTTATAAGGGTTAATAATTATGTAGGGGTTTAGAAAAATACCCCTCTCTGTCTCATTAAGATTTCTTTGTCTGAAGCTCAAGGAAGCAAGGTGAAAGGTTAGTGTAGGACCCACCTGAGAGGTTTGCTTTGACGTGGCAGGTGGGCATGCATCGAATGGCCATTGGAGTTACTAAATAATCTTAATTTATTTAAATATACCTAGGGATTTAGGAAGTGTGCAGGTAACTCTTTTTTTCTTTGGTTTTTAATGTCAACCCATTGTCTTCTGAGATCTCTCAACAGAGAGCATCCCTGGGCTGTTCAGCCCTTTCACATTAAATGCAATTATCCTCATAATTGAGAATTAATAAAGTGTGTGCGTCTTAAAGTGCTCCTGAAGTATACACCCAAGAGCTTTTGGAGTGATGCTACTAAGGACAACATCCTCAAGCTCATATAGAAACCCATATAATCCACCAGTCCATTGATCCCAAGAGGAAAATGCATCATGAAGAGCTCATATTGGGGCTCAAGAATAGAGAATAAGTTAAGGAGAGAGCATCGAGGAGAGAGCTTCGTTGTGCTCTTCATCCAGTAAAACTCTATGTATTGTGCAAATACTGAGCATCATGGTTCCTTATCAGTGGTGTGTGGATGGGGAGATAGGAGCAACGTGGAAAGGGGGTAAGGTGTGTAGCGGAGCTCCAGTACTCCGGCTGAGTACCTCCAGTAAAGTTTTCTCAGGCTAGAAGAAATGCAGCTTCAGTGATTATAACCCACCTCCCCAAGCACTAGACAACACTTAGTTAAGGGTAGAACAACAACCTTTACTGTCATAAATACACATATTTATAGGGACAATAACAGCTGGGGGTCATAAACATGAACAATTGTTTTACTCCCAGGCACCACTGTGTCTGGGAGATAATTTAATTATCTCAACCTTTATTAAACTCCAGACCACAGGGCGCCTAGTAAAACATACCATAAAAGCATCATGAAAACTCATCACATAGTGATAAGTGATATGTGCTTGGCCAGGTTTTACAGATGATGTGGTATGCTTCAGATCATGAGCCGTTCCAAGCTTTCTCCATACTTTCTCCCCCCCACCCCCCATCATTCCAGTACAGATTGATCTTAGTTTCATATGTCCAAACAATGCTGTTCCAGAACTGGGCTGGCTTTTTTTAGATGTTTTCTTGACAATGTCTAATCTGGCCTGTCTATTCTTGAGGCTTATGAATGGTTTGCACCTTGTGGTGAACTCTGTATTTGCTCTTGTGAATCTTCTCTTTATGGTAGACTCCTGGAGATTGTTCTTCACTTGGCTGGATGTTGTGAATGGGTTTTTATTTACCATGGAAAGGATCCTACGACCATCCACCACTGTTGTCTTCCATGGACGTTCAGGACCTTTTGTGTTGCAGAGCTGTGTTCATTTTTTTTTTCTCAGAATGTACCAACCTGTTAATTTAGCCACTGCTAATGTTCCTATTATCTTTGATGGATGTTTTGTTTGCTTTTTTGCAACATTAGGATGGCCTGTTTGACTTGCATTGAGAGCTCCTTTGACTGCATGTTGTGGGTTCACAGCAACAGGGTCCAAATGCGAATGTCACACCTGGATCTTTTACCTGCTTAATTGATGAAGGAATAGCCCACACCTGTCATAAAACAGCTTTTGAGTCAATTGTCCAATTACTTTTGGTCCCTTGAAAAAGAGGGTGCTACATATTAAATAGTTAGAATTCCCAAACCTTCCTCCAATTTGGATGTAAATACCCTCAAATTAAAGTTGAGAGACTGCACGTTATGCTTGTATTCATTATTTAACTGTAACTTGAATTTAGTTTGGTAAACTGACAAAATAACAAAACTTGTGTCAGTGTCCAAATATTTCGGGACCTACCTATGTATGTTACATCAAATTAATGCCCTTAATGTGCTTTAAAACCGGTTATAATATGTGTTGGTGCAATCAGGGCCGGTGCAAGGATTTTTGCCACCCCAGGCATAAGAAAAATTTGCCCCCCCATGTGACATCACAATGCCCCACCCATATGATCTGCCAGTGTGTGTTTGCATTAAGAAACCTGCAGGGACAGGCTATACAACCACTTCATTAACCCCTTAAGGACACATGACATGTGTGACATGTCATGATTCCCTTTTATTCTAGAAGTTTGGTCCTTAAGGGGTTAAGCTGCAGTGGTTCTGGGGACTATAGTGTCCCTTTAATGTGAGGTAAATTCGAGATCAGTGTCACTAATAATATACTAGATTACCTACTTACAACCAGATGAGGATGGTGATGGGCTCTGGCTGCAGTTTGGCACCACTGGTGTAGAACAGGATCTCTGGAGGCTGTTTGTAACTGTGGTCACAAAATTCAATATTCTGGGAGAACGGGAAGCAGCTTCATTTTTTGGGGACCCCTTACACAGTTCAAGGTCTGGGCCCCAGGGCTTGACAGTGAGTATGCCCATAAAGCCCAACCATAAGTCCACCTACATGTTCCACCCATGAGTTCGCTCACAGGGAGTGGAGTGTGTAGGGGATGTGTTACGTGTTATTGTAGAGGATCTAATGTGTGTGCTTATGGAATGCAGTGTATAGGGATACCAGTTTTTGTAGGTGATGCAGTGTGTTTTTGTGTAGTGGAAGCAGTGTGCTTTTGTGTAAGAGATAGAAAGCAGTGTGTGTTTGTGTTTCTGGTTGTGAGGAGAAAGGGGGGAAAGAGGCAGTGCTGCAGCTGCTCAGGCGGCTGCAGCCTTAGAAGGGCCGGCGATGAGGACGCAGGGCCCCCCCTCCTATGTGGCGCCATAGGCGGCTGCCTTGGTCACCTTATGGGAAGCGCCGGCCCTGGGTGCAATTAATGAGAAAAATGGCAATTACGGTTGATCGCACACATAGCAAAACTTGCTTGTCTCCTTCAATGCAAAACAAACAAATGAAGCTTGGTCCTTGTTGTTTTGAGGCCAGTAGCATCCCTTTAATAACTAAGATCCTGTGTGAAACATTGCAAGATAAGTATGAAAGAATAAATTGAAAAACAAAAAGGTGTAAGTTTGCATAATTTAAAATTGTTTGGTTGTAAAAATGGGTTAATTACAGCAACCAATGATGCCTGCACGTGTTTTTCATTTACTGAATTAATCATGGGACATTTAATCAAACATCAGAGATGGCTAAACGTTTGGCATTGCATTTCGTATGGACTGCAAACCTCATTGCACTTAGCCAGCTGTACGACTGCCTGAGAACCATATAAAATGTGGCCACTATAGCTTCAGTACAGAAAGATATCCATTACTGATCTGTGGGATTAATGTCCGCCTGCTGTATTCAGTAACGTACCCAATATGAGATGATGGCTAACATGTGGCATTAAATTTGTAATGGACTACAATTCCCATGATGCTCAGGCAACTTTACGGTTGTGTGAATACCATAGTAAATATATTCCACATCAGTTCCTATGCCAAATACTCAGATACAGCAGCTTCATTTTCTTACCCTTCCTCCATTTCACTCTGTGACCAAGGGAATTCAGACTATGCTTTCAAGACTGGTTTATTACGCACGGTTCTTATTTACAGAGCTGCATTTAAATTGGTTAAAGTGAACTTGTCACTGCTGAGTTTTTCTTACACTCCAAATATTGCTTCATTTCCAACTGCTGCTTTGCATGTCTCCCATTACGTGGCGGCTGATTGGAATTGGCATCTTTGAAGCACAACAGATACTTTTGGTAATATCTCGACATGGAAGACCCTCTTGGATCCTCTGCTTAGCGTTAAGGGAAGGAGGTGGTAAAGGAGGTGGTGAAGGGAGAACTCGAGGTCAGAATGTGATGTCTTTCTGCTATTTCTCCAGGCATCTCAATCCAAGGAGAGAGAAAGAAAAAAAAAAAAACAACAAAGTGCAATCAATAATGCTTAATATAACACTTCTTTGATATTTGTGCCAAAAAAAGTGCAGAAAAATATTTAAAATTTCCACAACTTACAAAATGGTATTTTCTCAAACCATTGAAAGAGGTACCAAATATCCATACACATGTATAAGAAAAAAAAGGGAAAGAGAAAATGTATAATGTGATATTGTAATAACACTAAGAAAATAAAAAATGATCGATACAAACTCACAAGTCTAACTATAAAGGCTCCAAAACATTAATCCCAAGGGAGACGTAGGCAGAAAACTTGAGGCTGGTGTAGATGTAAAACAAATCTTTATTTCACACAACCTTTAAAAATAGCAGCAGGCAAGTAGACCCTCTTTCTTTCTTTCTTCCTAACCGGGTAAGGTTCTCAGTTGGTCTCGGTATGTGGCCAGAATCCTAGGACCGAACTGCGGGTATCACTTGGTACTTCCGAGAGGTGGGGTTACTTTCACTTGCGTGCGTGATGACGTCGGAAGCATATTGACGCGTTTTGCCGTAACGACTGCTTCCTCAGATCTACCTTCTTACTGCCTGTGTCCCACTTATAAGTCCACCCTGAGTGGGTGTGTTCATCAAATAGTCCGTAAAAACAGCCTAGGGATTGGCTAATGTTCAAAGACTCATTTGCATATCCAATTAAGTCTCAATCACAGATTTTGTCCGCAGAAAAAGTTGATATACAGCTTGAAACAGAGTACATCAGAATACAGATAAATTAAAACGAAGGATTACATTTAATCAAGAACAACTACATAGATAAAAATTATTTGTATTAAAAATGGTTATATTGAAAAAGGAAATTCCATGTAAAATAAAAACTTATATTAAGCATATACACTTATTAATAATATATTTTGCACTGATCCATAGGCATATAGAGAAACCATACAAAACATTATAAATATTATAATACAAATACAACTTGGAATAACTATCTATTAGAGATAATCTTCTACTAATAGAGGGAAAGAAAATGAAATATAGTAAAATCATTATACAAGAATATCATGAATAAATCATTTTTTTTCAAAAATATCATTAAAAAATTTTAAATTATTTTTTAAAATCAAAATCAATATTAAGACCAAAAGGTTCGAGTGTACAAACTAAATAAAGTGGAGTGGCTAATATGACTGTCAGACAGCATGTATTCACACCAGGCTGACCTGGCAGTAATGTGGGTGAGCCTGTCCCCATGTCTGGGAGGGTCCATACTGTAACGGATCACCTGGCACCCCGACTGGGTACCTCCGTTGAAAGATGCTCCTAGCGCTTCCTGAGGACTCCAAGCACTGCAGCCGACACCACAATCACCGAACTAGAGAAGCGTATACCTTCTCTCAAGCATATGAATGCTGTAGACAGTTGAATAGGAACCATACGAATAGGTTTACTCTCCTAGCAGTCAAACTGGAACAGCATACAATAAATCCTTCCCCCAATAATGAGACGACACTTCACTTTGAGGGTTAAAACAGGAACTCCCTGTACTGTCACATACAGTCTCTTTTATTCCCAATCCACAAACATAGTACAGCCCACAGGGCGTTACAAAACAACCAATCACATCACAGTTACATCCCACATATTCCCTCCCCTTATCCTGAGAGGAAACTCAATTATACATACAGTTAAAACATACTTTCTACCCAACTTTCATAACTCCAAAACCATACATCACATTCACATAAAATTACATATTCACAATCAATCCATTCAGGGGAACAACATATTCAAAAATGGCACAAATCAGACAAGGGGTTCAAAAGTTAGTAAAAAGTCCTTTGTGACTAAATGAAGCATGGCTTTCTGGCCCAAACCAGTTTCAGAGCCTTCTATCCTGGAGATAAGTAATTCAATTATCTCCCAGGACAGACACAAGACTCCATTAAGCACATGGTTGCAAAAAGACACAAAACACTTTAAAATACATAAAGTCACCTTTACACATAACACACAGACATTTCACATATCCCCAGATAGCTGGGATCTGAGTGCACATTATTAGATGAATGGCACTCAGATCACACAAATAAGCCTTTCTGCAGGGGAAATAAACGGTTTAACCTGCAGGGCCATAGTCCAAAGGGAGCAGGCGAGCAACCAGGCTTCTCCAGTTCACAGTGGCGAGGTTGGTTTCGCCACACTTCTCCCCTTTACCAACTAGACTAACAGGGTATCTGACCTCCTGCCGGTCAGTGCCCTGGTTAGTCCAGCAACCCACCCACAAAACAGAAACAGCAGTACAGCCCACCCACAATAACTGGTTACTACACCTGGGTAGAGGAGAACTTTGTCCATGTCCAGGTGCCTCACCACGACTGTGTGGGCAACTGTTAGGCTGCCTTGGTGGGTTGCTGAGTGGGCAGAGACCAGCGGTACTCTGCCCTGATGCCAGTGCTACCACGGAAGTAGCCTGGTGGGAGCCTGGTTGTGGGAGGGAGAGACCGACTGTCTCCCCTCTGGATACACCGCTCTGTGGCTGGGGAACAGGACCGACTGTCCCTACCCCTTGTGCTGTAAGTGCAGAGACTACAGTCCCATTTGCACTGTTGGGGGGTGTAACATCTCCCCTTGCTGGGTTAGGCTGCCGCTGGAGAGAGGGTGTAACAAGCTCCTCTCTCTGAACTGTAAACTGCCGCTGGGGAGAAGGGGTATCAGGCTCCTCTCCCTGACACTCTCTCTGCTGGTGGAGAGGGGGACCAGCTGTCTCCCCTTTCATTATTTTGTCCTGTGGTTGGGGTGCAAGACTGACGGTCTCTGCTCCCTGCAGGACACTCTGCCGCTGGGGAGGAAGGACGACACCTTCAGCTCCCTGGCATACAACTGCCGCTGGGGAGGAAGGATGCACCTTCAGCTCCGCTGGGGTACACACTGCCGCTGGGGAGGAAGGACGACACCTTCAGCTCCCTGGGATACACACTGCCGCTGGGGAGGAAGGACTGCACCTTCAGCTCCCTGGGATACACACTGCCGCTGGGGAGGAAGGACGGCACCTTCAGCTCCCTGGGGTACACACTGCCGATGGGGAGGAAGGACGACACCTTCAGCTCCCTGGGATACACACTGCCGCTGGGGAGGAAGTACTGTACCTTCAGCTCCCTGGGACACACACTGCCGCTGGGGAGGAAGTACTGCACCTTCAGCTCCCTGGGACACACACTGCCGCTGGGGAGGAAGGACTGCACCTTCAGCTCCCTGGGATACACACTGCCGCTGGGGAGGAAGGACGGCACCTTCTGCTCCCTGGGACACACACTGCCGCTGGGGAGGAAGGACGGCACCTTCTGCTCCCTGGGGTACACACTGCCGCTGGGGAGGAAGGACGGCACCTTCAGCTCCCTGGGATACACACTGCCGCTGGGGAGGAAGGACGGTACCTTCTGCTCCCTGGGGTACACACTGCCGCTGGGGAGGAAGGATGGTACCTTCTGCTCCCTTGGGTACATACTGCTGCTGGGGAGGAAGGACGGTACCTTCTGCTCCCTGGGGTACACACTGCCGCTGGGGAGGAAGGACGGCACCTTCAGCTCCCTGGGATACACACTGCCGCTGGGGAGGAAGGACGGCACCTTCTGCTCCCTGGGGTACACCTATGAGTCCCCGTAACGCACTCTGCCTCCGGATAGGGCGGCTGATACCTTTGGCTGGATCTGCCATGAACTCCAGGTACTCGTCTACCTGGCTCCTTACGAACTGCACGTATTTCTCTGGGGGGTTGGGTCCAAAGAAAGCCAGCCGCATGGTAAACTCTGTCATACTGCTCCTGAGTGTAGCTGGGTGCCATGCTTGCGCTGCTGAAGTTAGTTCTTTTGTAGATAGGGTCGCTGTACGGGTACTAGCGTTGCCCTCAATTTGTAAATCCACGAACTGTGTCTCCGAGCTGCTTTACCTCGCACTAGGACGCCATCCCACCGCTGCCACCAATGTAACGGATCGCCTGGCACCCCGACTGGGTACCTCCGTTGAAGGATGCTCCTAGCGCTTCCTGAGGACTCCAAGCACTGCAGCAGACACCACAACCACCGAACCGGAGAAGCATATGAATCCTCTCAAGCATATGAATGCTGTAGACAGTTGAATAGGAACCATACGAATAGGTTTACTCTCCTAGCAGTCAAACTGGAACAGCATACAATAAATCCTTCCCCCAATAATGAGACGACACTTCACTTTGAGGGTTAAAACAGGAACTCCCTGTACTGTCACATACAGTCTCTTTTATTCCCAATCCACAAACATAGTACAGCCCACAGGGCGTTACAAAACAACCAATCACATCACAGTTACATCCCACATATTCCCTCCCCTTATCCTGAGAGGAAACTCAATTATACATACAGTTAAAACATACTTTCTACCCAACTTTCATAACTCCAAAACCATACATCACATTCACATAAAATTACATATTCACAACCAATCCATTCAGGGGAACAACATATTCAAAAATGGCACAAATCAGAAAAGGGGTTCAAAAGTTAGTAAAAAGTCCTTTGTGACTAAATGAAGCATGGCTTTCTGGCCCAAACCAGTTTCAGAGCCTTCTATCCTGGAGATAAGTAATTCAATTATCTCCCAGGACAGACACAGACTCCATTAAGCACATGGTTGCAAAAAGACACAAAACACTTTAAAATACATAAAGTCACCTTTACACATAACACACAGACATTTCACATATCCCCAGATTAGCTGGGATCTGAGTGCACATTATTAGATGAATGGCACTCAGATCACACAAATAAGCCTTTCTGCAGGGGAAATAAACGGTTTAACCTGCAGGGCCATAGTCCAAAGGGAGCAGGCGAGGCCCAGAGGAGGCGGGCTGAAAGCTAGCCGGATAGGAGGCATGTGTGGGTGTGGTGGGTGTAGGTGTCATAAGTGGGTGTGTCAATTAGAGTAAGGGATGGGTGTGGTCCTTTATATACCAGTCATTTTGTCTCCCTTACCTCAGCCATCTTAGATTTAATGGCGTGGTAACATCTCTGCATCCTCCTGTGCTTACCACTGCTTGTCAAACGGCCAAGGGTATGGATATTGATGCAATCCTCGCTGCCCTCCGGGCTGAGGCCCTTCAAGATGGTGGACGGCACCTGCAGTCACAGCTAGTACGCCTGCAGGGTGCTCCTAGTGTGGCTGCTCCCTCTAATGGCAGCCCTGGGAACCAGGGTGCTGATTTTGTGGCTGCTCCCTCTAATGGCGGCCATGGGAATCAGCGCCGTCGCGCACGTCCCCCTGCCCGGTATAGCCCCTCACGGGAGGGTCGGGTGAGGGAGAGGAGTAGGAGCCCTGTTGCAGGCCCGCGCGCCGGTTCCTCCGCGGCCGCGGCCAGCACCTCCTCCCGTGTGTCCACACGCCGGATTGCCGCCGGTCATGCCGCATCGCGGCTACCACCCCCCCCGGTCTCGCGGGCTCGGCGGAGGTCGGCCGCGAGAACACAGCACCTCACCGCACAGCGGGCGCTAATCACCAGGTCGGCCTTGGCGGGATCAACGGCTGTGCAAGGGCGGGGGGCCCGCTCTCCCGGTCGGGTAAGTAGGCCGCTGGTCGGCAGGGCTGTCTCCAGGGGGATGGGGGGTTCTGGGGCACTGGGCAGGGAGTATACTTCCCCTAACTTACCTCTCAGGCCTCCCCCTGCTCTCCCTCCACACTCTGTCTCCCCTGGAGCTGCTCCTGCGCCTGCTCCACTGTCTGTTGGTCCTGTCCCTGTGGCAGCTGGGTCACACTCTGCCCCTCCACTTCTCCCTTCCTCCTCAGCTGCCCCCATCATGGCTGGGGCCCTTTCAGGGTCTCCTGGGCCTGCCCCTCTCAATTTCCCTGCCTTGCCCGCTGACCCACTCATAGCTGGTGCCCAGCTTGCCCCCCCTGGCCCACTTCAGACCACGTTGCCCCCCAGTCATCCTGCCACTCTTACAGTAGGGGCCCATTGTTCCCCCACAGGGCCCTCCCCTACCGGTTTCGTTTCTACTGGGGTGGGTGGGCCGGGGTCCATCTCACCTGTGTTGTCTTCGCAGATTACTCCTGGTAGGCTCTCGGTTCGTTTGGCTGACGTTGCGGCTGGTGCAGATCCTCCTGCAGTCGCTGTTCCAGCTGGGCCACCACAGTCTAGCGGCCAAGTTGTGGCTCCACAGATGGCTTCACCTTCGGTTCCCGCCAGTGAGTATATTAATTTACAGGGTTTGGGGCCGGGGTGTGTTAGCGCAGTCAT